GCCTTGGGTTGCAACACTGAAGGATTCTATGGGCAAAATATTGAACGACACAGGAAGCAACAAAGGCAGATGTAAGACATACATACTCACTGTATCAAAAATGGTTGATGTTCAACCATTTTAGGAGGTTGATCAAGAACCGATGGTATTGAAGGAAGAAGTCCAAGCTACACTGAAGAAACTGGTGAAAAACAAGGCTCCAGGAATTGACAGAATATCCATTCAGATGTTTCAACAAATGAATGCAATGCTGGAAGTCCTCTCTCATTTATGACAAGAAATTTGGAAGACAGCTACCTGGCCAATGGACTGGAAGAGATCACTCTCTGTGCCCATTCCAAAGAAATGCAATCCAAAAGAATGCAAACATTATCAAGCAATATCATATCAAGCAATAGCATTAAAAAAAAAGCACTCCAAACTCATTGCCATTGAGTCGATTTGACTCATAGCGACCCCTCCTTGGGTTTTCAAGGTGTTATCTCTATGGAAGTAGATTGCCCAATCTTCCTTCCAAGGAGTGGCTGGTGGGTTTGAACTGCCAGTCTTCTGGTTACCAGTCAAATGCCTAGACTGGCTCACCAGAGCTCCCCAAACAATATCATATGCAAGTAAAATTTTACTAATTAAAAAATATACAATGACAGGGAACTGCCAGAAGTTCAAACTGGTTTCAGAAGAGGATGTGGAATGAGGGATATTATTGCTGATGTTAGATGGATCCTAGATGAAAGCAGAGAATACCAAAAAGATGTTTACCTGTGTTTTACTAACTATGCAAAGGCATTTTACTATGTGGATTGTAACAAATTATGAAAAACATTATTAATTCCAGAACACTTAATTGTGTTCCCGAGGAACCTGTATATAGTCCAAGAGGCAGTTGTTTGAAAAGAACAAGGGGAAACTGCATGGTTGAAAACCAGGAAAGGTGTGCATCAGAATTGCATCCTTTCAATATAGTTATTCAATCTGTTTGCTCAGCATATAATCCGAGAAGCTGGACCATATGAAGAACATGGCATCAGAATTGGAGGAAGGCTCATTAACAACCTGCAATATGCAGATGACACAATCTTCCTTGCTGAAAGTGAAGAAGACTTGAAGCACTTTCTGATGAAGGTCAAAGACTAGTCTTCAGTACGGATTACATCTCACCATAAAGAAAACAAAAATCCTCACAACTGGATCAATAAGCATCATCATGACAAAAGGAAAAAAGACTGAAGTTATCAAGAATTTCATTTTACTTGGATTCACAATCAATGCCCATGGAAGCAGTAGTCAAGAAATCAAATGATGTATTGCAATGGGCAAATCTGGTGCAAAAGGTCTCTTTAAAGTGTTAAACAGCAAAGATGTCACTTTGAAGGCTAAGATGCGCCTGACCCAAGCATGGTATTTTCAGTTGCCGCATATGAATGTGAAAGCTGGACAATGAAAAAGAAAGACCATCAGAAGAATTGATGCATTTGAATTGTGGTGAATAACAGTGAATATACTATTCACTAATATATTCTGCAGGAGCTCTGGTAGCATAGTGCCTAAGGCACTTGACTGCTAACCAGAAGGCTGGCAGTTCAAATCCACCAGCCACTCCTCAGAAAGAAGGTTGGGCAATCTACTTCTGTAGTGATCAACCCACTACAGAAGAGAGAGAGGGTTGCTATGAGTCGGGGCCGACTTGACGGCACATAACAACAACAGTATATTCTTGCAGAAGAACAAACTTGTCTTAGTTATGTACAGTTGGAATGCTCCTTTGAAGCAAGAATGGCTAGACTTCTCTCATACTTTGATCATGTTGTCAGAAGGGACCAGTCTCTTGAGAAGGATACCATATTCAGTCATGTTTGGTCAGAAAAAAAGGGGAAGAACCTCAATGAGACTGGCTAACACAATGGTGGCAATAATGGGCTCAAGCACAGCAACAATTGTGAGGATGGGCAGTGTCTCATTCTGTTGTACACACAGTTGCTATGAGTTGGAACCACTTGATTGCACCTAATAACAACAACAATGTGCTGTATAAATTTTTAAATGCATGCATTAGATGCAATTTAAATTGAGTTACTAACATACTGAACCTAACAGCAGCTCACATTCCAGTTTGGGAACACTTTTCAGTACCTGAAAGGAGTTGGGGCATATCTTGTAGTTCATTTGGCTTTTCTTTCAAGGTAACATATTATGCCCTTTACATACATTTGGATACTCATAACTAACTCATTTAATTTGTTGCTTTTGACAACCTTAGGTTTCAGATGGTTTCTCAAAGGCAAAAGAGGTGTTACTGAAATGTTAAGTGCTCACATGTACATTCAGCATATTTCCAAAGTTCAAATTAGGGGTTCTCACCTCTAAAAACCTCAGACTTGTAAAGTATATATAACTAGTGACTTACATATATTTGTTTGCAAATATTATCTAACATGTACAATGCTTTACAAATATAAAAAAACAAAACACCCCAAACTGATTGTCAAGTTAATTGTGACTTACAGTGACCCTACAGGACCGAGTAGAATTGTTCCACCGTTTCCAAGGCTGTAATCTTTACAGAAGCAGATTGCTGCATCTTTCTCCATAGAGCAGCTGGTGGGTTCAAACCACTAACCTTTAGGTTAGCAGCCAAGCTCTTAATCACTGTGCCACTAGGGCTCCTTATGTAAATTTATTTATACAAATGACTATTTATATACATTATCTTTTTAAAGAAAAGTTTGTACACTAAGCATCATGAACTACAGTTTTGCATTTAAACTCATCCTTCTAACTCAAGTATTTTTCTAAGTGTCCATTTTATTACTATTTAATGGTAGAGCTGGTTAGTAGCAGATAAAAAGGGAAACTTTAGTTCATCCCAACTCACAGGGAGACTGATAGTTACAAATGGGTTAGGTAGTTGCCAAATTACTATTAGGGAGACATCTCTTACTTTTTGTCTAAGCTTAGGCCTGTCCTGCTTGGGCAAGTGTTACAAAGATCTTTTAGCTCTGCCAGTAAGAGCCCATAGGGACCATACTCTGCCAGTAAGGCTTAGCCTGAAGGCACTGAGCTCTAGCTCTGCTCATGAGTGGGTAAACCTAACTTCACTAAGTGCTGGAGGCTCCACCAGCAAGCCTTTTGCACACAGCACTCAGCTTTCTTGCTCTTAGGTCCAGAAGTCCACCACACTGTCTCCTGCTACTCTCCTGGTTCTGCTTCTTCTGTTTCTCTGCTGCTGCTCGCCATCTCAGCCAAGTGTTATAGCTCTCTATCTCTGTATCCTGGGTCATGGAGGCTCCCAGCAAAGCAAACCAAAGGACATATTTCATTCCTGGCTCTTCTTTCTTGGTGGTAGTGAGAAGCCCCCTTTCTGCCTCTGGATGCCTCATTTTAAGCCTAGTGGGATTGCAAAATTGACCAATCCCTATGTTAGAGTACCATACACTTTATTTGCATGGTCCAACCCCACAAAGGGTGCTATGCCCCTTATTTGTATTATTAGCAAGTTATCCAATCCCCTTGATGGGTCACAAACATCTTATTTGCATAGTCCTACCCAATCTTTTAGGAGGTCTGGTAGCGGAGTACCTAAGGGACTTGACTGCTAACCAGAAGGTTGGCAGTTCAAACCCACCAGCCATTCCTCAGAAGGAAGGCTGGGCAATTTATTTCCATAGTGACACCACCTCGGAAACCCAAGGAGGGGTCGCTATGAGTTGGGTCCAACTTGATGGCACATAACAACAACAACAACTACCCAATCTTTTGGTGGGAGTATTACAAGACTATGACTAGTGGAGCAATTCATTGCACTATAAAAACCCAGAGCCAAATGATGTATATAAGTGTGCCTACCATATATTATTCATAAATAGAATTTCCTTTCCCATCGGTGCAAACACAAACCGATGCTATCTATCCTCATGGGAACCATAATCACTGAAGAACTCTACTCAAAGCAAAAAGATCTTAGAAATTCTAAGAAGAAAAGATTGTATCTATAAGGTTATTTAGACTTCAATGAGGCATTCTATTCAGTCTCATGTACTCTTGTTTATGTAGTAATACTGTCAAGATATGAATTAAAGGAATCTATAAAAAAGATGTTGATAAGTGCCACTAGAAATGATGACACAGGTGTGGTTAGTCATCTTAATGGCTCACATATTAGGCCCTAGAGGGACAGAAAGTTGCTAAACAGAGAACTCTATTTTGATGCCAAACTTGAAGTTTATAACACTAGTCAATCAAAAGAAGTAATACAACAGAACATAATGGGCAGAGAATGCAACAAATTTCAGATTGAAAACTGGACCAGATTAAAAAAAAAAAGTATGATGAAAACATGTAAATACTATGATCAAATCAGAGGATTATGTTAATTTTTATGATATAGCAAAGAAAAAAGGGTTGACATTTCATGATCACCGCAGAAGAAATATACTATAGAGTGGTACCCCTCATTTCAATTCAGCAACAACAACAACAACAACAAAACAGCTGCAAAGTTAAAATGACTATTCAAATTTAGCTTTTTTTCCCAAGCTCTAAATGCCAAACACTGGTATGACCTACAGAAGAGCAAATGATGAGAGAATGAAGATTTTTAATGATTAATATAAAGTCACTGCTAAATGTAAACACCAAGAGAAGATGGAAAGAAAAGATCTGAAGGCAACAAATCACAGACAAAAACTATCATATTTTCAAAACTGTAATTGAGTATATTACTAAATAAAGTAAATAAAGACCTCTTAAGTTAGAGTGCAAAATGAAAGCACCTTATTGTTTTAAAGGTGCAAAAGCAAGAAAATACAACATAAACTCATCCACACTTTAAATAGTTGTATAGTGGGTAAATGCCATTTTAAAACATTTTCAATAGAAAATTGATTTATAAATCAGTTTACAGAAGATCAAAAAAAAAAAAAAAAATCAGTGTTTCATACTAATATTAACTATAAATAACTAAAAAGGAAAAATTGTCCTCTATCCTTCTTTTACATCAACATCTATGTCTTCTGCTCCTTTCCTTTTGGAGAAAACATTGCATTGTAAGGCTGGCGTCTTTTTGGACGAGGACAGGGATCAACATCTTCCTTAATGTAACCTTAAAAGAAAAAATTATAAATTTAGAAGACTAAATTTATATGTGTGTGTGTGTGTATATATATATATATATATATATACACACACACACACACATATGAACATGTGTCTTATTTAATGCTTTCTAAGTTCACATGATTCAAATGATTTCACTACTTCACATCAGCTTCCTCATTTATAGTAACAACAGCAGCACACATTTGTCAAATGTTTTAAAACACATTATTTCAGATAATTCTCACATACCTTTGAAGTAACTTCATCTATACCAGGGAAGTTGAATAATTTGCTCAAGGTCACAAGACGAGGAAGTGGATGAGCTGGGATTCTGGCCCAAGATCTAATACCAGAACCAGAACTCTTAAGTACTTTCTTATTCTGCTTTCCACAGCATATACATGCGGACAAATTGGTAAACAGGAACTCTTTATGATAAATTTCAGGTGCTTATCAAAAGACTTTTCATAGTAGCTATTTCATTAGATGACATGCTCCTATACTCTTCAGACTGTTAGTTTTTTCCAGGGTGTCTCCAATCATGTGATTTACAAGGAAGAACTATGCCATACCCCTAGGGCACAGCAAACAAAGATTCTATCCAGATTGTCGGATTCTATTTGGTGACCAGGCAGAGAGACATCATGTTAAGACATTATCTAGCTTGTTGGTGAGGAAAGTGTAAATTTGCCAATAGCTGTCAGAGACTGTGTTTTTTGAAGACATATGACTGCTAATCAGAAGGCTGGCAGTTCAAACTCTACAGCCAATCCTTGGAAGGAAAACTGGGCAATCTCCTTTCGTAGAGATACTGCCTCCGAAACCCAAGGAGGGGTCTCAAATTACTTGATGGCAGTGAGTTTATTTGTTTTTTGTTACTCTAGCTACATATCTGGAACTTCTCAAAAATAAGCAAGCATTTTCGTCCTTAGTCATATAGCTAAATATCAGGATTCTTACTTAAAAAACCAAACTCACTGCCATCGAGTCAGATCTGACTCATAGAGACCCCTCCCAAGGTGGTACCACTACAGAATCTTCCTTCCAAGGAGTGGCAGGTGGGTTTGAATCGCCAGCCTTCTGGTTAGCAGTCAAATGCCTTAGGCACCACACCACCACAGCTCCTACTCAGGAATAGTCACTATAATATGGCAAGGCTTAACTGAAATTCTAGGTGGTGATCTTTATCATTTGATAAATACCTTCCTATAGGTACCAGTGCTAGGCACATCTTACAGATGAGGAAATGGAGCCTGGAAGAGGCTAAGTAACCTGCCTAAGGTCCCAGAGCTAAAATGGGGCACCAACAGAGTCCCAACCCAGGCCAAGTGATCCTAGACTCCACATCCTCAACCCAGAGCACACGGCAAGCACGAAAAAAAACAGCAACCTACATAGCATGAATTGAAAAACAAGGCTCCAACTTCCAATATATTTAGTACCTGTATGTATCTGTTCAGTTTTGTAGGCAATGGGGTGTTCTGTTAAAGAAGGCCAGCTCCACCCACACTCCACACTGACAAGATCACACACGCCACTTAACCTCACTAAGTTTTGTTGTTGTTGTTATTGTTAGGTGCCATCGAGTCATCGCCGACTCATAGTGACCTCATGTACAGCAGAACGAAACACTGCCTGGTTCTGCACCAGCCCCACGATCTTTGCTATACCTGAGCATAGTGGCTAAAGCACTTGACTGCTAACCAGAAGGCTGGCGGTTCAAACCCACCAGCCACTCCTCGGAAGGAAGGTTGGGCAATCCTACTTCCGTAGTGATACTGCCTCGGAAACCCAAGGAGGGGTTGCTATGAGTCGGGGCCAACTCGACGGCACATAACAACAACAACAACAACATAGAGTCCCTGAGTGGTGCACAACTAGAAGCCCAAAGGTTAGAGGTTTGAACCTACCCAGAAGTGCCTTGAAAGACAGGCTTGGTGATCTGCTTCCAGTAGGATACAGCCTTAAAAACCCCAAGGAGCAGTTCTACTTTGCACACATGGGGTCGTCAATGAGTCAAAGTTGACTCGACAGCAACTAACAACATCATACAATCTTGTGTGTAAAAGTTTATGTTTATCTCTAACTTATACAGACTTGAAATCTACTAATTAAATTTGTTATAAATCTAAAACTCAAATTATAAATATCTGAATGCTACTGTATTTTCTAGTGGTAACTCAGTAGACATATTATATTTTCACAAAAGTCAGTATTTTAAACCACAAGAAAGATACAACCTATTGAGTGCTCGCGAGACCATGGAGAAAATAGCAAAAAATATTAAAGTGTTCAGAATAAGACTCAGCTTAGCTAATATACTCCCTCCCTTATGTTATTTTTTTTTTTCCTCAACAACTATTATTGAAGTATATAGTTGGCACACTACATACTGTACATGTTTATTGTGAAAATTTATTCCTTATGTTTTAGGTTGATTTGAAATAAAATTCTTCATAAAATATGAGTGCATTCTTTAGTTAAAAAGATTCTCTGTGGCAACATTAATAACAAATGAGTTTTAAATTAATATGTTTTTTAAAAAAGTCTATGAATATAGTAATATAGGACATAAAATCTTGAACCAAAGAGGTCCCTTCCTAAAGAAGAGCTGTTAGATGCTTCTATAACCTCCTTTGGATTAATAATTTTATAATAAAGGGTTTGGGAAACAGATACTACTTATATGAATAGCTCTTAAAGGCTAAGGATTCTAGAACACTTCATTTAAACCAATGGTTGCAATAAAATTCAGACCTAATGGCTAGGATTGATTATACAGCCCAAAAGCTAGAATTGTCCACAATGGTAGCATTACTTTGACCATGGAAAGGGGAATGTGCTGTGACATTAGAAATGCAGAGCACGGTGAATAGCTTTAGGAGAAAATTGATATAAAACCAGGAAACCATGTATATACATTTTTTTTTAGCAATATGTCACTGGTGAGTAATAACACGGATGAGAACAAAAATTACAACTTGTGACATTTTTTAAAATAGCACTAAAACTATATATATATATTTTCAAACTTATAAAATATAAGTGCCACATTTGAAGGAGCGGTGTGTCAATAATCTTCCCAAATAATGTCCTTTTTACCAAAATATGGTTTATAAACATCTAGCATTCTTGACAAATGAGATTTTATAATCCAAAATTCCAGTTAGTATCTTTAAAAAGACTTTTTTGTTGTTTTGTTTTTTAAGCCTTTTCTCTCTAGGAACTCGTGTTTACATCACAAAACTACTATCCAATTTGCAGCAGAAGGTAAAGAGAATCATAGAGAAAAAGTCTCATGCTCAGAGTTGGGTATACATGATATTTAAACACGTCTATCAATTCCCAAATATCTATGTTCTTACCTCTTTCCATACAAGTTTGAGTAGAAGGAAAACCAACTTCCCAGAAATTCTCTGGTGTGTTGGGAGGAATATAGCGGAATCGGTGTCTTGAGCAGGAAGCCAACTTCTTTACTCTTTCTTCTGCTGGGATATCTGCATAATACTAATAATAAAAATTAGTGAGTTTTTTCACTTAGGAATAATAAATGGACTGATATCCTTATTAACTAGAAGCTAAGGAAGACATTTATTCAAATATTCAGCATTTTAAGGAAATACTACTCATTGATGATAATACTAGTAATCAACACATACAGTACTAATTATCTACTAATTATCCTTCCTTCCGAGGAGTGGCTGGTGGGTTTGAGTGGCTCCTAGGCTATTATAAACTGAGGGAGGGAGCTCTGGTGGCATAGTGCCTAAAGCATTTGACTGCTATCCAGAAGACTGGCGGTTCAAACCCACCAGCCACTCCTTGGAAGGAAGATTTGACGATCTACTTCCATAGAGATACCACCTCAGAAACCCAAGGAGGGGTCGCTATGAGTCGAAATTGACTCAAGGGCAGAGTTTGGTTCAGTATTATAAGCTGAGAGTGGCAGATTTAGGACTAGAACTTAAGTTTGAAGCAAAGGTTTTTAATATAGTTTTCTTTTACAGAGATTAATCAAAGGCTTTATAGTATCTCTGAAATAGGTTTTTTTTTTTTAATTATTTTCTGGCAGGGTGGGTAGGGAAAGTTATCTTTTTCACCATTACTGCTGTGTGTACAAGCATTTGTTACCTTTGGCTTTGGGATATGACCTTAGAGAACCATACTTTATTGGAAAAGACATGATTATCAAATTACAACATATTCAAAAGCCAATAGTAGGCTGTTGCAGCTGTAACACAACCAGCAAGCGGCAGAGCGGTAGAATATGAAGTAAGAGATAAAGCGAGGTATAAGGATTTGTTGTATCTGATAAGGACTTTGGGAAGACACTGCAGAGTGGAAGAATGATATGATTTAACTTTTATATAAAAAGATGATTAAAAAAAAGGTTCAATCATTACTGTGTTGAGTACACTATAAGAGGTAAGAATGAAAAGGCAAGGAGAGGTATTTCTGTAACTCAGGCAAGATAAAATGGTACCCTGGTTCAAAGGGTTAGTGGTGAGACAGTAAGTAGTAGCTGGAAATGGGACTGAAAGCATAACCAGTGGGATTTGCTGACAGATCGATTACAGGGTGTGAAAGAGAATAGAGGATAACTGTAAGGTCTTTGGTTTAAACAACTAAAGAGTGGAACTGCCATTAGTGACATATGGAAGACTCAGAGGTGCGGTTTGGAAATTGGAGGCAGAAATGTTTGTTTTAGAACACATGAAGTTTGAGATGACAATTATACATCTAAGAAGACAAGTGAAATAGACAATGGGATAACTTTAGAAACTGTAAGCATATGAATGTTATTTATATGGGAGTGGCACTTTCTCTTCTGGTCATGGTGGAGTAACAAGGACCAGATTTACTTCCTGCCTTAATTGAATAAAATGTATGAAAGAATGGTTTTCAGAGACTGAAAAACAGACAGTATATGAAGATTCTTGAAAGATGCAAATCAGCAGTGTTTCTAGCGTAAGGGCTTTTTCAACTGGTAGTATTAGCTCCAGATTGTAAAAAAGTGATGTTTATTCCATATTCTTTAGTTAAAAAATCATGATAAATTTGATTTATATTAGGACAATTCATGTTATAGGAGGTTTTGCTTAGTTGCCAAACTGTTTTCCAAAATAGCCATGCCATTGCTAGTGTATAAAAACTGAAAAACAAACAAACAAACAAAAAAAAAACCCCAAACTCACTACCACTGAGTCAATCCCGACTCATAGTGACCCCCCACCTCCTTGGGTTTCTGAGGTGGTTATCTCTGTGGAAGTAGATTGCTCAATGTTCCCTCTGAAGAGTGGTGGCTGGTGGGTTTGAACATCCAGCCTTCTGGTTAGCAGTCAAATGCCTTAGTCACTACATCAAGAGATCCCTGTTAGTATATAAGAATATATTTTTCCCAAATGCCTACATACACTGAAATCTAATCATATTTTCACATATAACTTTAATGTGCCTGGTATCAAATTTTCTACCACATAGTTTTTAAGTAGAAAATTTAAAAAGGAAGTAAATTGATGGAGGTACTCATTTGACAGCTAAAGGACGGCAGTATCATGGATTGAACTGTGTCCTCCCAAAATATTTATTGTATGTCCCTTTTGGGAACGGACTGTCTTTTTATGTTAATGAGACAGACTTAGTGAAGGGTGTGTTTTAAGTCAATAGAGAAATTAAACAAGTTAGTTAAAGAAGCAGACATAGGGGAAGTGAGATGCCAAGACACATAAAGTTTGCCTAGGAGCAGAAGCTCAAAGAGGTAAGAGCAGACAGAGAGAAAGCCTTCCCCTAGAGGTGAAATCCTGAATTCAGACTTTTAGCTCCTAAACTATGAGAAAATACATTGTAGCATAGTGCCAAAGGCACCTGACTGCTAACCAGACGGCTAGTGGTTGAAACCCACCAGCCACTCCTTGGAAGGAAGGTTGGGCAATCTACTTCCATAGTGATACTGCTTGGAAACCCAAGGAGGGGTTGCTATGAGTCGGGTCCGACTTGACAGCATATAACAACAACAACACTGGTGGTATTTCTGTTATAGAAGAACCAGATAAACTAAGAATTTAGTACCAGGAGAAAGGAGGCTGCTCTAATAGATACCAAAAATATGGAAGTGGTTTTGGAATTGGGTAATGGGCAGAGACCTGGTAGGAAGAGCCTAGATTCTATTGAAGAGACTGTTGGTAGAATTATGGATGTCAAAGTCAATTCTGTTAAGGGCTCAGAAGGAAGTGAGGAGAGTTATAGAGAAAGTCCTTTTGTCTTAGAGAACACATATGATGCCAACAACAGAATTTGCTAGAAATATGGACTTAAATGTGCTTCTGGTGAAGCTTTAAAAGGAAACAATGAACATATGATTGGACAATGGAGGAAGAGCAATGCTTTTTATGCAGTGGCAAAGAACTTGTCTGAATTACGTTTGAATGTTTAGTGGAAGGGAGAATTTGTAAGTGATGTACTTGGATGTCTGGCTGAAGAGATTTCTAAGCAAGATCATAAAGGGGCTGCATGGTTTCTCTTTGCTGCTTATAGTAAAATGCAAAAGGAAAGAGATGAACTTAAAAATGAACTGTATAAAATGAAAACAGAACTTAAAATTTTGGAAAATTCTGTTGTATAAACTAAGGACACATTTCCTAAAATGTTCACCAAGGACATGGCTATACAATCTTTTGTTAAAGAGATTAAGCTGTGACTGATGGATCTGACCAATGACTACAGCAGAAGGGAACAGAGAAAGAATGAAAGGACAGAACACTGTCTTGTCCCTTGGAATTCTACATGCAGGAAAGTGGTCAAAGGAGCTACATTTGATGTCCTGCAAAAAAATAAAAGAACCATTCCTGGAGTAGCTCAGAGGTCAGCAGAAGGAGCATGGGAAGCAGGTCTGTACTGGTTTCAGAAAGTAGAATCATGGCCTCCTAGGTTTAAAGAGTCAGATCTTCACAAACTCAGTTCTGGAGTGTGGGGCTGCCGTTCATGAATGCCAGCATGATGGGGCTGTTGCCCAGAGCTGAGGGGACAGGGATACCATGTCCAACAGGCAGAAGAATGGGGCCTACTGGGGCTGAGGAGGTGGGGTTACCAGTCAGATGGACTAGGAGAATGGTCTCTGAGCCCAAGGCCCAGGGATCTCAGGCTCAGAATCCAGAAATACGGCCAACACTGTGCATGTCTGAAGGGCAGGGCCATAGTCTAGATGGTCTCAGAGAAGAAAGGATTGTTTTCAAGCCTTGAGAGCTAATGTAAGGTATTCTGCTGGGTTTTACACTTGCTTGGTACCCATTATCCCTTCTTTCCCTCCAATTTCTCCCATTTGTAATGGAAATACCTACCTTGTGCCTGTTGTATCATAGTACTATGGAAATAGATAATCAGTAATCTGGATTTCACAGATTCACAGATGAAGAGGAATTTTGCTCCAGGATGAAGTATGCCTAAAGTCTCACCCATATTTGATTTAGATTCAGAAGATGAGATTTTGGGCTTGGAATTGACTTAAGAATTTAAGTCATAATAATGTGACAGGGTGAGTATGTTTTACATGTGGCAAACCGAAAAAAAAAAAAAAAAACCAAACTCACTGGAGCTCAAAGGGTAGAATATTATGGATTCAACTGTGTCCCCTGAAAACGTACGTCCCCAACCTCTATATCTGTGGTTATAATACCCTTTGGGAATAGGTTGTCTTTGTTATGTTGTTGTTGTTGTTATGTGCCGTCGAGTCAGCCCTGACTCATAGTGACCCCTCCTTGGGTTTCCGAGGCAGTATCACTACGGAAGTAGGATTGCCCAACCTTCCTTCCGAGGAGTGGCTGGTGGGTTTGAACCGCCAGCCTTCTGGTTAGCAGTCAAGTGCCCTAGCCACTATGCTACCAAAGCTCTTTGTTATAGATACCAAAAATATGAAAGTAGTTTTAGAATTGGGTAATGGGCAGAAGCCATAATCTATGAGACAAGATTAGTATAGGGTATATCTTACATCAAACTATTTTGTAAGGTAAGAGAGATTAAATAGCCAATGAAAGAAGTAGATATGGGGGAAGAGATATGCCAAGCCACATGAGGATCGACCAGAGCAGAAGCCAGAGTCAGGGCTTCCTCCAGAGCTAATAGAGAAAAAGCCTTCTCCTATAGCTGACACCCTGAATTCAGACTTCTAGCCTTCTAAAGTGTGAGAAAATAAATTTGTTTGTTAAAACCACCCATCTGTGGTATTTCTGTTATAGTAGCACTAGATAACTAAGACAGATAGCAATGGAAGAAATAAAAACAGTATGTTTCAAGAAAACACAGAACTTGCCTGGACTATTTAGTAATAAGATAATTGGTACTATTTACTTATTGTCCAAGGCAGCCATTAGTATTAAAATAATAATATAATTGTGTTCTATGGATGAACTAGAGCCTATTCATCACATTTTGTTTGGGAAGAAAAATGGGAAAAACCCAGAGCTTATAGTGGTACCAGTTATTTACAAAAAAAAAAAAAAAAAAAAAAAAAATTATGAGTATACCTCATTTCCTAAGAATGTGTATATAAGTAATTAAAGTTTATTACTGAAATATCAAAGTTTTCCCCAAATGGTATAAGGGTGTTTGCCATTATAACACAAGGGGGGAAATAAAATAAATACAAGTAAACACCGAAAAAAAGAAAAATGGTACAAATGTCTTAACCTGGTAATAAGATCTAGACCTTTGGCTCCAGATTCACTTAATGAAAATTTAAGAGAAATTATGAGCTTTCATTTCCCTCTGTTTATATCTCCTAGGTCACAGCCTGTATGTTGTTTATTTATTCCTCCTATTATTCCTGGCTAAAGTTAGGTTTCTAGATACAAATATAATTTTTATCTATGACCTTTAAAATCATGCATTTATCAACTATAAAGTCATAATTGAAAAAAACTAGACAGTATTTAATTAGTACTTACGATTTCACATTCCTTACATGTGTGTCCAAGCAACTTTTTTCTCTCTTCTTTTTTCCGAACCACCTCAATATGAGGAAAATTTTGTAAGCTAGTCTCCCTGGGAGAAAAATGAATTAAATTTTAAATTAATCCATTTGTTACTACAAAGACACTTGGTTTAGGACTTAAATTAACAATGTGAGAGCTGAGAGGAGAAATAATCCCAAAACATTCATTCATTTTATTTGAAATGCTAATTCAGTTTATTAGAGAACCAAACAGTTCTTAATCCATTCTTCATCAAATATTTATTAAATGTTTACTGTATGCCAAAGGAACCCTGGTAATGCAATGGTTTTAGTGCTTGGCAGTTAACTGAAAGTTTGGTGGGGTTTAAGCTCACCAGCAGCTCCATGGGAGAAATGTGGCAATCTGCAACCATAGATTACAGCTTAGAAAACCCTATGGGGTAGTTCTACTCTGTCCTATAGAGTTGCTGTGATGCAGAATTGACTCAATGGCATACAACAACTATATGCCAAGCATTTTTAAGCGGTATTTTTCTCTATAGATAATAAAAAAGTAACTATTATTTCCTAATTCTGCCTCTTCCTGGCTGAAAATAATGATTAGGTTAGAAGGATATATCTGTGGTTAATTGATTTTCAAAAAGGGTGCTAAGTCCATTCACTGGAGGAAAGAGAGTCTCCTCAATAAATGGTGCTGGAAATGGGATTTCTACATCAGAGGAATGAAACAGGATCCATGCCTCACACCGTACACACAAACCAATTTAAAATGGATTAAGGACCTAAATGTGAAAACTAAAACCATAAAATTCTTAAAAGAAAATGTAGGGGAAAGACTGTGGGACCTAGTTTTTAAAGATGCAGTTAAGATACGATAATAAAAGCACAAGCAGCAAAAGATAAAACAGATAAATGGGATATCATAAAAATTAAATACTTTATTTATCAGAGGATTTTATCAACAAAGAGACAACCTACAGATTGTAAGAAAATTTCTGAGAATCGTATGTTTGATACAGGTGTAATATCCAAAATACATAGTGAAGCCTATGAGAGCTGGGGCTCAGTAGCACTGCCTTGTTTTCCTGGGTTTTGCAAGTTTCCTGCCTTTGTGCAAGGCAGGAAGATAATTAGTCTTACCATGTTTTTATTGCTTGTTTTAGTGAAAAATTTTTGAATTTTCTTTCTGACAGGTTCCCACTTTACCCAGGTTCTGGCTTTCACTGGTTTTACTATATATAAAACTTGTACAACTTAACAAAAAGACAACTCGGAAAAAAAAAAAAAGGGCAAGGACTTCAACAAATCTTTAACCCAAGAGGATATTCAAATGGCCAAAAAGCACATGGAAAGATGTTTAATGTCATTAATCATTTGTTGCTGTTAGGTGCCATCGAGTTGGCTCTGATTCATAATGGTGTAGTGCCTAAGGCATCTGACTGCTAACCAGAAGGCTGGCGCTTCAAATCCACCAGCCACTCCTTGGAAGGAAAATTGGGCAATCTACTTCTGTAGTGATACCACCTTGGAAACCCAAGGAGGGATGGCTATGAGTCAGATCTGACTTGACAGCAGTGAGTTTAGTTTTTTTTTCGGTATGTGCAACAGAATGAAACACTGCTCGGTCCTGTGACAGTCTCACAATCTTTGCTATACCGGAGCCTACTGTTGCCATCATGTCAATCCATCTTGTTGAGGGCCTTTCCCTTTTTCCCAGATCCTCCACTACACCAAGCATGATACCCTTCTCCAGGGAATGGTCCCTTCTGACAACATGACCAAAGTAAGTGAGCAGAAGTCTGGCCATTCTCGCTTCCAAGGAGCATTCCAACTGCACTTGCTCCAGAACATATTTGTTAGTTCTTCTGGCAGCCCCTGGTACTTTCAGTATTCTTCACCAACATCACCACTCAAAATCATCAACTCTTCTGTCTTCCTTATCGTCTGTCCAGTTTTCACATAAGAGGCTACTGAAAGTATCATGGCTTTGGTTAGATGCACCTTAGTCTTCACTGCCATTAGAGAGATGTAAATCAAAACTGCAATGAGATAACATCTCTCTCCTGCAAAAATGGCACAATAAAAAAAAAAAAGTGGGGGGGGGTTAGGAAATAACAAATAGCGGTGAGGTTGTGAGGAGACTGGAACTCAAACACTGCTGGTGGGACTATAAAAGAGTACAAACACTATGGAAAATGGTATGGTGTTTCCTCAAAAAGCTAGAAATAGAAATATCTTATGATCCATCAATCCTACTCCTAGTGCATCTTAGAGATCTACAAGTGTAGTGACATGAATAGACACATGCACATACATATGGTGCAGTTGTAAGGATTTTCATTTTCTTTATGTTGAGGTGTAATACATACTGCAGACTGTAGCCTTTAATCTTCATCAGTAAGTGCTTCAAGTCATCTTCACTTTCAGCAACCAAGGTTGTGTCATTTGCATATCGAAGGATGTTAGTAAGTCTTCCTCCAATCCTGATGCCACATTCTTCATACAGTCCTGCTTCTTGGATTATTTGTTCAGCATAGAGATTGAATAAGTATGGCAAACGGATATAACCCTGATGTACTCCCTTCCTGATTCTAAACCATGCAGCATCCCCTTGCTCTGTCCAAAGGACAGCCTCCTGGTCTATGTACAGGTTCCTCATGAGCACAATCAAGTGTTGTGGGATTCCCTTTCTTCTCAATGTTATCCATAATTTGTTATGATCCACACAGTCGATCACTTTTGAGTAGTCAATAAAACACAGGTAAACATCTTCCCAGTATTCTTTTCTTTCAGCCAAGATCCATCTCACATCAGCAATGACATCCCTCATTCCACATCCTCTTCTGAATCCAGCCTGCCTTTCTGGAAGTTCCCTGTACCACTGTAACCATTTTTAAAGTATCTTCAGCAAGATTTTACTTGTGTGTGATATTAATGATATTGTTTGATAATTTTCACATTCTATTGGATCACCTTTCTTTGGAACGGGTACAAATATGGGTATCTTTCAGTCAGTTGGCCAGGTGGCTATTTTCCAAATTTCTTGGCATAGATGAGTAGGTGCCTCCAGGGCAGCATCCCTTTCTTGAAACATCTCAATGGGTATTCTGCTAACTCCTGGAGTCTTGTTTTTTGCTAATTGCTTCAGTGCAGCTTCAACTTCTTCCTTCAGTACCACTGATTATTGATCATATGCCACCTGCTGAAATTGATGAACATCTACTAATTCTTTGTGGTATAGTGAGTCTTTATATTCCTTCCATCTTCTTTTGCTGTTTCCTGTATCATTCAATATTTTCCCCATAGAATCTTTCAATAATGCAACTTGAGGCTTGAATTTTTTCTTCAGTTTTTTCAGCTTGAGAAATGCTGACTGTGTTCTTCCCTTTTGGTTTTCTAACTCCAAGTCTTTGCACACTTCATTATAATAATTGACTCTGTCTTCTCGAGCTGCTCTTTGAAATCTTCTGTTCAGCTCTTTTATCTTGTTGTTTCTTCCATTTGCTTTAGCTTCTCGCCATTCAAGAACAAGTTTCAGAGTCTCTTCTGACATCCATTTAAGTCTTTTTTTCTTTTCCTGTCTTTTTAATGACATTTTGCTTTCTTCATGCATGATGTTCTTCTTCTTCTATTTTTAAATTGTGATTTGGGTGAAAGTTTACAGACCAAATTCACTTTCCATACAGCAGTTCACATACACTTTCTTTCATGACATTGACTACAATTTACCCCAATGCAACAGCTCCCCTCCCACTTCCTCCCAATAGTTACCTCTTCCCTGTGTCCATCCCTCCATGGACTCCTGCCCCCTGAGCTGTCTCCCTGTACATAAATATGCCCCATGATTGTTCTTTCCAAGGACTGTATCTACCTCAGGTAACACATATGCCTGTCTTTTGCTTGGCTGGAAGCCACAGGAATGGGTTCAATTCCAGACCTGAAGGGCAGCTAGAGGCCATAGTCCCAGTGGTTCCACCAGGCTCTATCAGACCAGCAAACCTGGGCCCCACCCCCCTTTTTTTTCCCAAATGATTTGAGTTTTGTTCCACATTGTTCTCCCTCTCTATCCAGGATCTCCTACATAGATCCCCCTCCGAGTTGTTGACAGTGGTAGCCAGGCACCATCTAGTTCTTCTGGTCTCATAGTCATATATGATGCAGATCGCATGGTGTACCAGTCGCTAGGACTAGTTGTTTCCATGGATCTTTGGTTTTCTCCATTCTTCTTTGCTTTGGACAAGGAGAGACCCACTGTTGCATCTAGATGGCTGCTTGCAAGCTTTTAAGATCCCAGTCACTACTCACCAAAGTAGGAGGTGGAACAATGTTTTGTGTAGTATGTTATGCCCACTGAGCTTGATGTCCCCTGTAACTATGGTTTTGAGTCCACAGCTTCAACTACTCGCTCCCTCTGGGTAGATGGCTGTGACCAAAAAGTGACTACAACCTTGCCCTTTGTCACCTCTACTATATAAATACCTGGGAATTCTTATAGAACATACAAATACACCTTTAGAACCATTGCCTGCCAACCCTATACACAGTCTTGGGTACACTCCCTCCTGCGTAGACATACCTAATAGTGCACCCTGTCCACCCATCTATCCACCCGTATTCAATGTTTGCCTTCACTGACAACATAGTACTGTATGTGCAAAAGGGTTCATCTTTGTTGTCTGCACCTTCCATGTTCCTCTCTATGTCTTCCCCTTCCTCAGTGCCACCATGTTGATCACTCACAATTGGTACATCATGCACAATGTACTTAATGTCATCCCACAATTTCTCTGGTTTTTGGTCACTGGTGTTCAATGTGTCAAATCTATTCTTATGGTCTCTAAATTCAGGTGTGTCATAATCTAGGTCATATTTGGCTCTCATGGACTTGTTTTAATTATCTTTGGCCTCAACTTGAACTTGCATGAGAGCAACTGATGGTCTGTTCCGTCATCAATTGCTGGCCTTGTTTTGGCTGAAGATCTTGAGCTTCTCCATCTCCTCTTTCCACAGATGTAGTCAATACGATTCCTGTGTATTCTATCTAGTGAAACTACATGTATACAGCCACCATTTATGTTGCTGAAGAAAG